TCCTAGATTGGACATGCATTTGTATCGTTGCATCATCACTTATCACTCATTTAATCTCGGTTTAGTCCAGATCATTATTTTTTACTCAATTTCATCTTGATCATTCATCTTTGACCTTGACTTAATTCTGGTCGCTTTTAGACTCACGATTTTGTCTTTGTCATTCAATTTTGGCTCAATCTAGATTATTTTTCTGACTCGTGATTTTATCTTTGACCTCGACTCAATCTTGGTTGTTTTTAGACTTGCAATTTCATCCTGATCATTCGATCTTGGCTTAGTCTAAATCATTGTCTTTACTCAAAATTTCATCCCAGTCATTCACTTTCGACCTCGACTTAGTCTTGGTCACTTTTAGACTCATAGCTTCATCCTAATCATTCAATCTTGACTCAGTTCAGATTATTTTTCTGACTCGTGGGTTCATCTTGGTCATTCATCTTGAACCTTAACTCGGTTTTGGTTGCTTTCAGACTCATGGTTTTATTTTGGTCATTCATCTTTAGCCTTAACTTTATCTTGGTCACTTTCAGAGTCACAATTTCATCATGGTCATTCGATCTCGATTCAGTCCAAATTATTTTTCAAACTCGTGATTTCATCCAGGTTATTTCTGCGTACTGATTTGACTCTTGGATTGGAATAGAGTGAGTGTCTAAGTCTTTACACCATATTTGTCTAATAGAGAAGTGCAAAAAGGGATAGTTGTAGACACCCATCTGTGTCCAGGGTCTATCGAATCAATTTTTATTAGTCATTATTTTATTATATTATTGTTAGTATAGTATATTATACTATTATTATTATTATTATAATTATTATTATTTTCTTTCTTCTTTCTTTTCTTTTTTTATTTCTAGTGAGAATTACAGAAACAAAAACTAAATTAGCCAAATCAAAATCCTATCAAAGAATAAAGTTTTTAATGCAAAATCAAGTTAGGGTAACTATAAATTCAATTAGGATCGAATCAGAAACCTAAAGTTGTGCTTGGGCACAATCCAATCTCAGGATTCAAGCCTGGGATTGGTTCTATCTATTTTTTAAAATTTGTTCGAAGGCCACCTATAAATTGAACTAACATTATAGAGAACAAACAATAGTGGATTTTATAGGGGAACAGGAAAACTGATGAAAAATTTAATGGTTGCAATTTTGAAAAAGGACATAACGGTAGTAGGGTTTATGAAATTTCGATTCTAAAATTTTTTTAGAGGGCATTCTAAGATTGATTTAAAGTTTTTAGGTGTAATTTAAAGATTCTGGGTTTAGATTTAGACTCCTAGGGCTAGGGTCAAGTTTCTAGAGGGATTTGGAAAAGTTAAGGAAAATCTAAGATTTTTTCTAGAAAATATGAATTTTTTTATGAATATTTGAATTTGTCGATGAATTGACAAAAGTTTGAACTTTCCAGTTAGATTCCGGCCAATTTTCTAGAAACTAACAACAAACCTAGTTTTCAGTTGAATTTTTGAAAAACTTTTAGAGATAAAAGAGAGAATTTTCGGCCTAGAGAGAGAGGAGGCAAGGGAACGTCTGAGGCAAAATGCTGAAAAGTGGCTTTTATAGGGTGCCCAAATATTGTCGTTTTGGATGGCCCAAGATCTACGCGTGACCCACTGACCCACGTGTTGACCCGACTTGAATCACAGGTTTTCTTTTTACATGTTTTTTTTATTTTTTATTTTATTTTATATTTATTTCATTATACTTTATTTTCAATTTATTGTATTTATTTTACTGATTTTTATTACTTATTTTTATTGAATATTTTATAAAATTCTATCGTCATTTTTTAAAAAATAATAATAAAAACAAAAGACAAAAAAAGGGAAAAAGAATAAAAAAATCTTTTCAAATAAGTTATGGAATCCACCAAACTATTGAGAAATTTCATAAATCAATTTTCAAAAAATATAAAAAATTTTTATTCTCCAAACGATTGAAGGATTGTTTTTTTAAATTAAATCTTATCAAATTATTGAGAGATTTAATGAACTTTCTAAAAAAAATGATGAATAAAATCTATATAATCACTTTTACAATAAAATCTCACCAAGTTAGTGGGAGATCTGCATCAAAGCAAGTCCTATCAAACTATTAAGAGACTTACTAATTTTTTTGAATAAAATACATCAATAAATCCAACAACGGAGCCTCTTTAATATGGGACACTAATCTCCATAAATACTCATGAGGTGAGAGAACTATCTTAAATTGCTACCAAACTATTGGGATAATTTTAAGACTAATTCTCAATATTAAATATTTTGGTAAAATATAAACATTTTCAAGGCGTGGATAATTTGAGATCAAACTGGTACCATCTTTTGATAAGTGTTGTGAAGGTGCTATAACCTTCTTCACATGCAATCATACTACTGAACCTAAACTCTAGTTTCGTAGATCAAAATCTACTATTTAAAGATACCTAAGCTAATCTTGGAACTCTTCTTTAAATAGGACGGATTCTCTCAAGTAGCCAATCATACCTAAATAAAAAATATTGGTGACGACTCCTTCTAATCCATATCCAGCGGTAAGTCCATGTATCTATACGTTATGACACTTAAACACCCAAAGCTACCTTTCTGTTTACCCCTTTTAGTAATAGCAATTCCATGCTTATAACAAATTGCTTAAAATTATTTCTTCTCAATGTACCTATGAAAAAATTGAAAATTTACTAATGTATATATCAAATTATAACATATCTAAATTTTTTTCTCTTTCATCTATTATATCCCTAGAATAAAAAAATATAAGTAGGTCTTCAGAATAAAGAAAATAATGAGACTGAAAAAAATAGTTCGTAAAACAAACAACCATCATCAGTCCTTATAGATAGTGAAAAAGTGGCCAAAATGGCTTGAAATAGTCAATAAATGTTTGGATTGTTTAAATTAGATCTAACTTTTATTCTAGGTATTTTTTTGAAAAAAATAACTTAGAAAATAGAAATATGAGGTTGAAAGGAATGAAAATATAAATTTTGGAATGAAATCAATGTTGATCAATAGTGGTCATCGACGATTGTCGATGTTAATCAACAGCATCGACAGAGAGTGCTGAGGTTTTAAAGAAAGAAACTCTCTGGTTTTAAAGAGTGGAAGAGAAATGATGAAGAAATAAGGGGGAAGAAAAAGGAAAGAAAAGGACAGAAAAAAGAGAATAAAAAAACCTTTTATTTTTTATTTAATTTTTTGTTTATTTTTTATTTTTATTAATTAATTATGATTAATAATTAAATTTTATTAATTCATTAATAATATAAGAGAGAAATGAATCAATTAATCATCATTTTTTATTAATTAATTATGGTTAACATTTTTATAATAAATTATAATTAATTTAGTAAAAAGGTAAAATAATCTTTTAAATTTATTCTAACCATATTTTTTGAATTAATCAAATATATTAATATTAATTCTTACTAAATTCCACTCCAATAAACCAAATATCATAACAATTATTATATTTTAATTTTTTATTCTCAAATAACTTATTCACGCTTTATTTCAACTGGAACCCCGAACTAAACTATCATCAGTTATAAGTCAAGGCAACCTCTCTCTTTTTATCATTTCATTTTCTTTCCTTTGCTTCTTTTCTTTTTTATCTGTTAGCTTTTAATTAACCTAAAATTTTGATATAACAAAATATTAAGTTAAATTTATGATTTCAAACTTATTCATTTAGTAATTTCTCATTAACATTATGTTTAAATCAATTTTTAAAAACTTCTAAATACTATTAGACTTCAAATTTTTTAAACAATTCATAATCTTAAATGAATATCATTTGTAAAATTATATTAAAAAAATTAATTATTTTTTCTTAGTAAAAAATATCAAAATATGTAATTTTGAGAAAAAGGGAACGATCCCACCATATAGAGGATCAATCCACCTACCTCATCCTTTGTTTTTTAAGCATGAGGATAGATTCTAGGATTGACCGACTCTTTTCTAACAACTATATTTTTTTAATTTGTAAGCATGAGGACCAATCTCAAAATTGATTGCCTCGTGCAAGAAGTTCGAATTCAACTTAAAATTTAACAATGCATCTCAAGTCAAGATTTGCCATTTCAAAAGCATTTAAAGAGCAAAAATCTAGTCCTTGTATTGCTCAAGTCAAAATACTTATTGTATAATCTCTTCATCTTTATTCTTAAATTTAGCAAACATCAAGTTTTCATAGTTGCAAAAGTCTTTGTATTCAAAGGGGATTTAGTAAGTCAATAGTTGAAGTATTCTCTTGAAAGCTTTTGTAAAAGATTAAGTAGAATCCTATAAAGAGATAAAGACTACTATCTTGATCTTAATAAGATAGATATTGTAATTTGTATAAAAACATTTTTCACTAGTGAATTTAAAACTTGTTTAAAAAAAATTAAGAGGATATAAGTACTTTTTGAGAATAATCAAATCCCTATAAATCATTTTATTCTATTCTTTTACTCTTACTCATTTATTTTGATTTATTTTATTTGTATTTTAATTTCATATATTTTTAATTTTTCATTTTACTTTTATTTATAATTTATTTTGAAAAATAATTTGAAAATAATCTAATTCACTCCTTTTTAGATTATACTTAAGCTAACATTATATCTTTCTTCTTTTTACTTTCTTTGTCCATCCAAAGAGAAAAGGTCACAGTTGGCAAATAATTAGATAAGGGAGTCGTCTTCATTTGACTAATTGCCCTTTTAATATAAGTATTGACACTAATATTGATAAAAATGAAAAAAAAAAAGAAAATAAATAATATTTTCTGTCTTTCACGTTAATAATAATAATAATAATAATAATAATAATAATTTTTCTTCCTTTGTTTTCTTTTATATATATATATATCAAACATAATCTAAGATTTTTTTCATCTCTTTGATTTGTAATAAAAAAAAAAACGTATTTTTATCATTAATTTTTAGTTTATTTAATTACGTAATTGTAAACGTAATCAATGTCTGGCATGATTCATGAGTAAAAAACTTTAAATAAAATGGTTGACATAACAGTAAAATGTGAGCGTGTGAACAATATCCATGGATTCTGGCAATACAAAAACAGTATCAATGGATAAGGGTTTTTTAATATAAAATAATAATATCAAAATTTATCATTGAAAACTATGAATGACATTGATCCCGCCAAAGAATAATAACATTACCATTAGGAAAACCTACACCGTAGTATAATTAGAGAAATGGATCATCAATCTGTCCAAGGTTTCTGGAAAAAACTTTCTTGCGAATAAATAACACGGCCGCTTCATTGTATTCCACATGCATGGCCCAGTTATCACTCTCCTCTGCACCGCCAACCAACAAAGCAGACGTTTTGTTACTTCTTCCATACAGATATTGCAAACAAGAGAGAGAAGAATCCTTCCCCAAGAACGAAAAGAATGAACCTTTTACCTTTGGATCACTAGTGAAATGTACGCTGTTGTCAATGGACTGCAAAAAGAGACAATTTTCTAAGTCTATTTCAAGCAACAGTTGGACACTCTGCATTAATAAACAAACTGAGACAAAGACATTAGGGAATGTGCAACGCACTGTAAGGTTCTTGAGGAACTCAAATGTAATATCTTGAGCCCTAAATGATCTGGGATGCCACTTTCCTTCAGACCAATCAACATATGTTACCGACCGATTTGCGATTCCACCAGGATCAATCATCTGAAAGTATAGAAAATAATTGGGTTAAGGACGTTCTTCAATTTGTTTTTATCATTCTAGTTTCTGTTGGGGGCAATAAGGAGGTTGGTTATAGGTAATAAATAAGAATTAAAGGAAGTATTGACACAAGCAGAAGAAACAAGTTTGATGTACCAACATTGAGAAAGGTTGGCAAGTAATGCTCGTCTGCATAGCAATTGCGCCCATCCATATTTGGCTGACACAACAACACGAGATGTATGCTAATAAAACAAGCGAAAATTTTTCCAAAAACCATATAAAATTTTGTGGTTAGTATTATTAAAAATTGGGCAAACAAACTCATTATCCTGAGTTTGCAACAGAAACTGATAGGAAAGCATAATTATAAGATAATGTCATTCATAAGACATACAATACTGATTATAACAACAAAGTAACTCCAATGGGCAGATTACCTTGCAGTAAAGCCTAAATTTTGTGTAATATAGGCTGTCAGCCATAACTATTACAGCATGCTGCCGCTTCACGGAGAACCACTGAAATAAAATACGAATCAAAGCCAACTAAATGTATGAGAAACATCACTGTCATGTTTTATCTTTGTTGTGAAAACACAACTTTCTTAGAAAGGAGAACAAATTTAGCACGAAAATCTTACTGCATCCTGCCAATCCACTGCCAAAAAACACTTTTACACCTCAACAATCTTATACTTTTAGCCATTTATTTGCTCAGCACAATAAACTAAAAAAAAATTGTAGTAAATCACTATAATTTTTTTATATAAAATAGAGAATAGGACATTAGAACTGCACTAATCCAGGAAAAAAATCCACCACAGTTTTCTACTCTTATTCTACTGGCAAATATAAAGGTAGCTATCTCAGAAACTGTTTGCCTGAATTAAACTAGAGATTTAAAAGTTGAATTAACTCAAAATGCCGTAAAATCTATAATCACAAAATGACCTGATAGTTTCATTTATGCACAAAGCAAACTAAACCCAAAAACTAATTGCCCACAATTATCTATTGTTATGAACTTGGAATGTCAATTTTACTGAGCAAAAAGTAGAGGAATACAGGACAGCATCCTGATTGAAAAAAAAAAAAACAATCAAGAGCGCTGGATCCACAATGTGGTACACTTTATAAATGCCCCGATAGAGGATTCGAGATTCCTTAAATCTTTTCTGGTTTTCTATATATCAACTACCAGCCTTGAAGATAAATACACTTTCAGTGATCATGCAAAGGGACAAATTGAAGTTTAGTTCCCAACCTCGGTTCTAACTAACCTCAGAATCAGACTTATCTATAATATGATCTGTAAACTAAGAACTGAAAAAACTTGTTTAAATTCCCAAATAGAATCATCATATTCTTCTGTAAAACTCTTCCATTATTACAGTGGAAAACAAGAATAAAAGTGCATGATAATTCTGAAAATGCTAAGGCATTTGTTTGTCACATTTTATAAGAAATGTCAAAGAAGCATAGTATTTTTTTTTTTCATATTTCAATATTAAATTAGCAAGCAAGACAGAAAGAGAAATATCAATCAACAGAGCAATCCTGACAGATGCCAACTGAAAAGACTGTGCTAATAGCCACACATATAAAAGTTGGAGAACATTCCCACGTAAGTTCCAAAGAGAATTCTGAACCACATTCCATTTACAAATGAAATATCAATTGCATTTTTCTGGAATTGGTAAATAAGTTCAAAGCAAAATTATTACAGTAAAAGGATTTACCTGTGAACCTTTCCTGAAATTGTTCTTTTCAACTTCGGGCATCATATGCTCTGAATACCTCCCAGTTCCATGAGGACCAAGATCCACAAAACTGATGAGAGAGATAGAGAGAGATAGAGAGAGAGAGAGAGAGATCAAATGTGGGGAAAGTAGTTTCTATATATACCCTTAATATTTTCAACAACAAATGAAAAAGGCTTTGGATAACTCTGTAAAATAGAATTATTTCCAGCACTTAAAGGTGTTAATTTTGCTTACTTAGTAAAATAAGGTAGTTTTTACTCTTAATGTACTTAATTTGCCTTTGTGCAGGATATCTTGAAGAAAAGATAGAATCTTAGTGATTTTTTATCAATCTTGATAGGATCTTGATACATTTGGAGGAATTTCGGATGGTTCATGCTATGTTCTTGAAAATCATGAAGTTCTTGGAAAATCTTGGAGTGGAAGCATTGAAATTGTTAAAGATTAGCTTGCTGCACCTTAAGACTTAAGATTGGTTTAAACTTGAAGAAAATGATTGAAATTCATGCAAGAATCAAACAAGGGATGTTCGGCTATGTAGGGGACAGATTTGAAAATTCTTAAGGGATGTTATATGTAGGACAATAGGTGCACATGCATAGGATCACTATAGGATGACATGATAGCAAGTCTAATCTCATTGGCCAAGAGAGATGACTTGGATCCATATGTGGTATGATGACATGAAAAGGGATTTTAAAACCTGACTTTATGGAAAAGTCAAAACAGCTTATGTAATCCTAGTCAAAAAAAGAATTCCTATTTTGACTTGGAATTCCTATTTAGGGTAGGATTTGCTTGAAAACATAAAGGATTCATTATGTGAAGGGCGGCAAATCTTATTCCCATCTTATTCTCTCCAAGAAGAAGTTCAATTTGAAACAAAAATTCAAGAAGTCTCCAAGAAGAGCCAAGAACAACTAAACTTGAAGAATCCTTTCTAGAAGGTTGCCAAGAGACCAAAGCCAAACTTCTTCTCTTTAGAAGTCAGCCATACCATCCACGAAGAGTTTATTCAAAAGAAAGTCCTTACGCAGCAGAAATTTTTGGAGTTTTAAGTTGCTCTTTAAGAGAAGTAAAAACAGAACCTTCTTCTGCTTATCTTGAAGAGTTTGAAACATCGAGTAGATTCAAGACAGCACTTAAGTTCTTGAAGCCAAGATTCAGTCTGGGTACATTCTTTTGAAGAGATTCAATTCATCCAAATAAGATTCCACTAAGAAGTCCTCTCCTACTCAAGAACCCTACCAAGACCAATTCTGCTAAAGAAGAAGATCAAGGTTAGGGTTTCTTTGTAAGCTTTTATTATAAATAAGCTAGCTTAGATTTAGGAAAATGATGGTTGGGGTGACAGCCCATCCTATAGCTTTCTAAAGTTTTGTTTATTGTTTTCTTGTTCTTTTAAGTTCTTTTTAGTTTAAGGTTCGGGTAACAGACCAGCTATTGTTCTTTTAAGCTTTCTTATTTTGTTTTCTTAAGTTTTCAATTCAATTCAGTTTCTTTCAAGTTAATTTAAAATTTTGCACTTTCTTATAAGTTTTTCAAGCAATTTAAATTTTGTTTCAATTTAATTTAAGTTCAAAAGCTTTTCACTTTGTTTCCTTACTTTCTAATTCACTTTAATTTGCTGTTCGGTTAATTTAAGAAGTTTCAATTCTGTTCACGCAATTTAAGTTTAATTAAATTCTGCTCTTGTTTAATTTGATGTTCTAAGTTTAATAAAGCATCCTAGGTTCTGATTTTAAGTTTGTTATATTAGGGATTTCATGCTTGCATGTTTTAAGTTTAAGTTAGCATAAGTTAAATTCTGCTTAATGCAATTTAAGTTTATTTGCTTTGTTTAAGTTTCAAACATGTTAGATTAGGTTTAATTTGTTGTTCTTGAAGTTTAAGAAGTTAAAGCATTCTATTAAGTTTAATTTCAGTTCGGTTTTACATATTTGCATGTTAAGTGATTAAGTTGCTATCTAATTTTGGTTTAATTGTTCTTGCATGCTTTAATTCCCATTACTAATTGCTGTTTTGATTTACTTAAGTTGCTATTTAATGTTCTTGCATTTTAAATTTCAATTTTAGGTTGTTAGTTTGTTGAGTTTGGTTCTTGCATTAGTTAATTTACTATTTTGCTTAGTTAATTTATTTAATTAAGTTTATGCATATTAAAATTTATTTGTCTTAATATAATCTAGGGTGTTAAAATTTTGGTACTTAGTATTAACTCATTTTACAATCTTTGTGGGAACAAACTTTATCACTATTCTATTACTTGTTAGGATCTGTGCGCTTGTGGTATCAATCAACCTTCATACTTTATTTTAACAAGGCTTACATGCTACGTTACATGACAAGACAAAAAAGAGTTTCAATGTTGCTTACCAGTCAATAAAGCTAACATTGGTTAGCATCAAGTAGTTGTACACATACTCAAAATTGTGTAATGGTACGCAACTGGAGGAGAAGGTTTGAAGAAGGGGAAAACTTTAGATAAATACCTATTATAATAATATTAAGACATGAAATCTGATACCTCATACCTATCTGACAGCAACACAAACTGCTGGTTATCAGGGTCTAAAAGCGCATGCGCCAACAGTCTCCTCTCAGCATCAACCATGGAAATTTTCCCCCAAACCACCTGCATTTTGTAGCTGCTTCTTAGGAGGCACTATATAGTGATATTCAAGCAAACATGTGAAGTTAATGGTGGGAAAAAGAATTAAAGAAGACAGAATTCATCAAACTTTGGGGAACAAAAGGGGTCATCATCAAAACAAAAATTGCATGTGCACGCCCATTCTTCAAAAGGTTCTTGTTCTTTTTCCCTTCTTTGCACTTGAGAACATTTCCAGGGCCTAAGAATATGAACTCAAGCATTCAAAAAGATATATGAGTTCCCCACATATGTTTCAGCCAAATAGTAGGAATTCAAAGAATTTATGAATTTTGACAGAGAAACTAATCTAATGATCCTCTTCCTTTCTCTATAGACAGAGGCCAAGAACACCGTCAGAGTAAATTTCCAACATGAATCAGTCAACCCTTTTGATGCAAACAGTTTCAGTAGCTTAATGAAATAATCTTATACATAACGAATTGCAATGACTAATTCCACCTACCTTTTCACTGTGAATGTCTCGACCCATAAAATAATGACTAGTGTGTACTGGCTTTTCTCTGGAAGCATGAACATAAACAGAGAATCTGTCCTCATGGCCCTGCAGGAAAAGATTAAATAATGTGATTTTTTAAAAAATTTGAAATTGCTAGAGAAGAAAGGAGTTATACCAACTTTCTGAAGGATAAGAAGTTTCTCTTGGTACACAGCCAGAAATAATATAAGAAAAAAAAAAAAAAAAAAAGAGATTAAAATGTTCATCAAGTAAGCATTTGTATTTTCCAACTGTTTCTCAACTAATCATTCTTAAAACAAGTCAGTGAAGTGTGTATCAGCCCCCGCAAAGACATATATCGATATCTTCACATTTTGATAAAATTTGTTTGCCTTCGGAAAACTTTAAAAAGAAAGAAAGAAATCCGAGGTTAGCTTGCACTTAGAGCAGTATTGAAAGCCTAGAAATAAAGACTTGAAAACCATTGTTCGGTAGGCACCAGCATCAATTGCTTTGTTTTGCACTTGTCAGACCTGATACCACATCTAATGCCCATCTCTCACTAGAGATATGTTTTTAGGTTTTTTATTTTATTTGTGACTCAATAGCTAAGGACATTAAATAGTTCGCCACTACTTGGGAACCTAATCTAAATGATAGACGTGCACTGAGTTGAACAGAGACCAAAGTCCATAAAACATACAAGTCAATTAATGATCACAACAATACCATGTATGGCAGCCACATAGAATGCAACAGAAGAATTCTTACTCGCATTACTGGCAAATGAGAAGTAGCATAACTGATGCAAAGTCAAGGCAAAACTATTGATGACCAAGTAAAAAAGTCTTACGTGAAAGAACTTAGCCCACAGTGCCTCAAAAGGTAGCGTCCCAGGAGTCAAAAACAGGAAAGCAATTTTTGAATTCTTGGATTGGATAGGAGGTGTCTTGAGGATTTCCCTAATTACAACCTGAGATATTGTCTCATCATCACTTAATTCCCTAGAAGGAAATGTTGGTGGCTGGTTGTACAAAGTACAATCTCTAGAAGAAAAGATATAGCATGCTGCCGAACTTGTTGGAGGGTAGACATAGGCAGTAATCAAGAAAATGATCACAAAAGTTACCAATACAATAATCCACACTGGCCTCTTTAGATGGGGGCGCTGTCTTGAACCAGACATGATGAGAAAATCTTTTACATTTAGCTTCCATGCACCAGTTGTCTTCATCTAGATTGAAGGCAACATATCAGTATCTCAAAGCATCACTCAGTTTCCATATCTTACCAATCTTACTGCTTCACTGTCGAGTGCAAAGACCACTATTGTATACTGATAAGTTTATTGGAATCTGACCATAATCTGAAAAGGGCAAGATGGGAAACAAATACAGCATCAAATTGATGGACACAAGCATCTTAATAATAAACCTTAAAAATATGTTTTCAGATAGCAAAAATATTGGATGTAAAGCAGGCCACTAATCACACACACCATGTTAACAATGCAGATTGAGGGGATCTTAATCTCTTAAGCTTTGCCACAAACTGGGGAAAAAAACGTAACAAAATATAGCCATCAAAAGCATAAATGGCTAAATAAAAGTGAACCACAATATGAGAGGAGGCGGAGAATGATTCTTAAAATTCATGATAACAAGCTGAAAATCTTCAAAACTAACCATAAAACTAAACCTTTTTATTTTTAAAAGATAGAATTTAAATTTGAACAGCAGATACTCCTCAGCTCTATTTTAGGTAAATGTTTTTTTTTCTTTTGAAAGATTATTGAGCGATAGCAATCTTGGATTTAGGAGCAGAGATTTGATACATTGGCTCCTACAAGAATTGTTTATCAGATTCCAGCAAATCAACTCTACCTAATAAATATGGAAAAGAAAACAACTGAGCAAACAGAAGATTCAGGTTTGGCACTAGCGATTGAAATGCGAATTCAATAAATCTAATCCATAAAAAGAGAAATTATAATCGAAATGAATATTCAATAAATCTAATCGAAAAAAGAGAAATTATAATCGAAATGAATAAAACTCCAATGAGCGACGTTAGAATACGCATAGCAAATAGCAATACCGCGATACGATCAGGACGAAAAATATTCCAAGAAAAGAAAATAGTCCCATCAATTAAAAGAAAAAAAAGAGAACAGAAGCGGAAGCAAGCGATTTGGTTGCAGTTGAAGAAAGAAGGAAAAATCGTTCGCCCCAGCAATGAAGAGAAGGAAAACGGAAGAGTACCTGGAATTTGGAAATGGGGGTGATGGATTGAAGATGCAGAAAGAGAGTAACGAGATCACAGCGAGTTGAGGGAGGGAGAGATCCAGAAGTACCACTAGCAATGTAAATACTTAAAGACCAAAAAGGATTAATTATATTTATTTATTAGTATTATTAATTTATTATTAAAGAATGGATGTATGTAGAGTAGCCTAGTAATAACAAAATTATAATATAGTCCACAATGAGAAAATAATACTTACTAATTATAGCGACCAAGAAGAAGAGCAGGCAGGGAAAGGTGGGTTAATATTGAGATCGGCCTTTTTGTCTGGGTTGAGCCGGTGAAGTAGTCGTACTAGTAATTTTCTATGACTACCAGTTTAGCGTAGTCAGTAGAATTAGTAATTAAATTTCATTGGAATCCATCTATCATACTTCAACCATAGTTTGTGAGTCAGTCAGTCTCCCATATTGTATTTTGCTTCTCACGCTTTTCCTTTCTCCCCCTTTGCAGCCCGAAACACTATTTTCGCTTTGTGCTTGTCCATTCATCTTGGAGAATCATTCAACCTTGGAATGCAGTTTTCGATCTCTCTTGGATTACCCTATTCCTAATTTTACCCTGTACATTTTACCTTGCTTTCTCTGCCATATATATACTCCTAAATTTAATCCTCATAATAATGATAAAAAATAAATAAACTAAAAAACTGAAACTTTTGGGATTACACCTTTAAAGATGTTAATTTTATTTATATCTAATAAAAATTTTAAATTTTTATCTTATCGAAGATAAAGATAAATAATATATTAAAACAATGAAAATAAAAAGATATATAATTTTAAAATTTTTATCAAATATAAAAATAAAAACAAATAATATAATTCGCACCGTATTTTTATATTCATATTCATGCTCTATATATATATATATATATAATAAATAAGTTTTTTGTTAAATAATATAAATTATTATTTTAAATGAATTAAAATTATTATATTTTTATTTAAAATATATATTAATATATTTATAAAAAAAATTATATAAATATGCAAAATAAAAATTTTTTTAAAAAAATAAACAATACATTTTAATTATTATTTTTTAAAAAAGTTACAAATAAGTGATTATTTGTACTCATTAAATATTTATAAAAATAAAATTAAAAATATTTATTAAATATAAATATAAAAATAAAATAATTTAAAAATAAAAAAAAAATATTCTATTCTCTTTTCATCCTACTCATTCACATCCCTACGTGCCTCGTACCTATTCGGTTAAATCATACTTTTCATTTTGTACGATATGATCATCATACATCTCCCTTCGTCATCGGAGATTGGGGAAACTCCAATTACTTTTTTTTTTTAAAAAACATAAATGTCACCTATTTGTGGTTTCTTAAAACAGTGTTTTTGGAGTATCCTTTTTACTTTATGGAAACAATAGATTCACTATATTAGTCGGTATATACTTATTTATGTCTTAACCAATTATTTTAAACATCCTTGCTGTCTATTAGTTTTAGATTTTTTTTTATCAAATGTATGCTTTTGAGTACTAAGAAGCTTCAATCAAAGTGAAAAATGCATGAATTTAATGTCATATTGAACATTCAAATAAATTTTTAAAATATTCTTCTATAAATGATTTTTTAATAAATATTACTCGATATGCTTACGACCTTCACCATATGTGACGTTTACTCTAACTATAAATTCATAATATTTTTAGGCCACCAACAATAAATTAATAATTGGTGTAGTGAAAAGTAATAATAATAATAATAATAAACAAAATGAAGATGATTGAGATCTAGCATTCAAAATCCTTTTCCCATCTCATATATTCAAAAAATGTATATATAAATATAAAGTAAGGAAATAATGTCAAATTATGGAATTTACATATTTGATTAAATGGATATATGGTAAAATATAGATATGTTTCTAAAGGATTTACTCTCGGTTAATGCATAAACAATATCTTTTTTTTTTCTCTATTGAAATCATATATACATTTAATTAGTGCAATTGATTGGTTAAAATAGTAATTGTAAAATTCAGAACTTTAAATGAAAAAAATTACGGTAATCCTCACAAAATCCAAGTTATAAGGATTCGATTAATTGATGTCTTTACTTTTTATCTTTTATTTCTTTTTGGCAAAAAATAGATACAAAATAAAAACCATACAATAAAGCAAAAAACAAAAAGAATATCGATAGAACATTTTTTTTAATTATTTTTGTTAATGTTTTTTTTTCTTTACATTTCCTAATGGTTAAAATGAAAAAAAAAAAAAAAAGCACCTTTGAGTATTAAAAAATCTAAGTAAATGTAATAATATTATGGCATCTAAATAAATCTTTCAACTTTTATGTTTTTCTATCTAAACCTTTCTATGGATGAAATCATTAACTATTGTGACATGCTGGCAAAATTTAGCACACATGAAAATAGTGATATGGCATAGTTAAATTATTATAACCAAAAAAAACAAAAGAAAAACAGTAAAAAAAATATAAAATTTGTCCATCCTTAAATAAAAAACCATCCATCTCCAAAATCTCTAAATATATCGATCCCTTTTATCTAACACTATAATCTACACAAGAAATTGGAATTTGGTAGGAAAAGAAGCTAGATAAAAAATGGTGAGATTCATGGGGTCGAGAAGATATTGATTCGATTTATCTAAATATAAAGTTGAAGAAATCATTTTGGTACATGATTTTCAAACACTTATTTTATAATCCTTGAAGAAACAATACTCTACTCACACAATTTATTACTTGAATATGATTTATGCACTTGCAGGTTAAAAAACAGCAATTAGCCACCAAGATTAGAAGCCAATGCAAAGCCACTTTCCTAAAATGTCCAAGTTGAATCTAGGTTTGAGTAAGCTACATAGGAATGCATGTTCTGCCATGGCTAAAAAGTCATAATTTTATAGGGAATTTTTGAGCCAAATCTATGAGCTAACTTGGAATTTTCCTCTTCTCTTATTGGATGGCAATAAAGGGAATTAAGTATCAACAATCAAAGTTAACACAACGACATTTTAAAATTTTTAATTCCTAAAGCCAAGATCAATCAATAAGATCATAGAAACATACAATTTATACAAGCATGCAAGGGTTTTAGCTATGGGTGTTAACTTGAATGCCGAAGTCTTTTTGGTTTAACTTGATCACTTTCCAATTAGTTTCTCAAGCTAAAAAATTACCCAAGAGTTCAACCTTTAATGGTGATCCATACAAACAAGGTGAAAGAACCTTTTCCAAAAGATGGGAAGAACTCAAAACCGAACTCTCTAGCTAGTGAGATTTGTCGATTACCCTTTTTGTTTTTTTCTCTCAATTGTTCTCGACACATGAAATGTCTATTATCTTAGAATACTACTAGAGAGGGGACAACTTAAGTTCTTTATATAGAGACAAGGGGTAAGTCAAAACCCTAGGGTATTAGGGTTTCTTTATCCTTAATTCTATTATCAGTAGAATAACCCCCTAACCAAGTCCTATTCTTAATAAGTTTACTTACTTAGTTGGCCATACAATGTCCCATTTAGTATTAGGCTTTTGTATGTTTCTTTATATTAAATTTTAACCCATTAAATTAAATTCAACTTAATTTATCCCAATTCTAATCTTTCACAACACGTCTTATTATGTGTGACCCATTAGGTTCTTTAGCATGTTGACAATAGGCATAAGCATTGTGAACCTCAATATTCGGCTCTGGATGAAACAAACATTTTGACTTCATCACTAATTTTTTAATTAGGTAATCTTATGTTTATAAATCTTGATTAGTGCTAACTTCATTGCCACGACCCCTAATTACTAAAAAAAAAAAATCAATATTACTGGATGATCTATCTGTGAATGGTTTTAGTATATAATTAATATCTTTTCATCACATAATATCTCAGTTTGATCATTGAGTATGATTTAGTGACTATTAAATCTTATTCAAATATGTTAAGTCTTATCTTTGATATTAACTCTCAAATAAGCTTTAGAACAATTCTAAACTGTTATTTCACTTTGGTCAAAGATTTCTGAAGTTAATTCAATCAAGACTAATTAAGACACTTTTTTGATCACACAAGGTGATAAATCTCATGTTGATTACTTCATACATTTTCATATGTCTCATGTTATATCCAATAATACTCGACTGAAGCATTTTTTATTAGAACCATAAAATAAGGTAAAGTTAAAGCATAACGTTCATCATATAAGAAAATAAGTAAACTCAAGTCAAAGGATTACTTATACAACCATCACATGAGAATGTAACTATGGACAATATGTAAACTATCATATAGCATTTTCATATATAGTCATGTTCAATAAAACTTGTTCTTGCAACAAGTACTCACATATTAGCTCAAGTTTATCAAAACTTTTATCTATGTGATCTGTTACTTGTTTCATAAGTAAGAGTATAACCATGTGACGGTTTTAATAACTTTTATCAATGTCCTTTCTTAATAAAGTATCGACCAAGAAAAATTTAGGAATAATGCATTAATGCAATGATGATCTCATAATTACATTCTTCTTATAATTCCTTTACAAAGTATGTCTATTCCAATGACTTTATCTATAAGAAGTAAGTAATATTAATCATATATATACTATCTCATAGATAAAGATTGTCTTTGATAATAATATAAATGCATAATATAAAATGTATCCCATAGCCAATATGATTGGTCTTAGGGCATATTACCAAAAAAAAAAAAGGGCACAAAAATCATAACACAAAAAACCATTGACCTTATGCAAAGAGGGAGCAAACTTTAAATTGCTTGTTAATATCCAATGTTGCTAGATTTCCTCTACTACTACATCCACTAACATTTTTAAAGGATTTGGAAAGACCTTTTGTTGCAAAAATCAAAAGAGGACAAGGGCACACAAGTGAAGAATAAGTTTGAATAGAGTTTGTACAAAAAAAATGTAACATGTATGAAATAACGTTGTGATGCATGCTCATTCCCAATGTTGTCATATTTGAAAAGTCATGGGTTAGGAACCTTGAGGGTTTCAAAATTTGGCCTTTGCTAAGCTTAAGTGGATGCCAACACACCTCACACATGGCTACTTAGCACTCTTCTATTGGACCACACATTGAAGCTCACATAAAAAAGAAACACCATGGATAAGAGAGCATTAATCGTTTTGATTTTTCTCATTTTAAAAAAAATCCATGTTTAAGCTGTGCTTTTTAAGCCTACGCTATAGTATTAAGGGCCATTTATTGGCTTGAAAAGACCTAGGTTTTACCTTTAAATAAGACTTTTAAGGCTGAAAGAAAAGAGCCTATTTAGCATTTTTAATTTTTTATTTCTTTAAGCCTTTAGAAAGCTTTGTAGGCAACACCATTACTGGCTATGTTTTGCTCCTTTAGGTTTCACTTAGGTTTTTTTTTTTTTTTTGCTTTTTCTTTAATTGTTTTACTTATTGTTCATTTACCTTTCATTTACTAAGCCTCACTTTTCAATTACTAGTATTACTTTTTTGTGAATGAAATTTTAGTTTTTATTGTTTAGTTTCCAACATTGTTTTATTTGTTCCTTTT